TTTGCTGACTTTATGACTCTTCTTTGTGCATGTGCTATTGTTGCACTACATGCAGCATTTACCAGTATTTTTATTACTGGTCCCTGCATTTATGTGCACGTAGGCAAAAATTGTATCCAAAAACCTAATTAACCTATGCATTTTGCATTATTTGTCTTAATCAGTAATCAAAAATGTGAGCATTGTTTATTCATATTTTGGAGCAATACATTAATACGTCAGCGCTATCAACTGTCTATATATATATTGGCAGGTTACGTCAGGCAAACAATCAGTGTTATTCCCAGAACATTCATTTCAGAACAAATACTGAAGAGTTTTATGATATATGCAACAATTTATGTCAGGGTGGAGGTCAGAGTCTAAGTGGCTTTTCCTTCCACTACATGCTTTGCTTTACCCCTCCAGAGCAGATGGCTCAGATGTACCTGCAGTCTAACCTGCCAAACGGATTCTAGGTTTTTTTTTTTTCTCCCAGGGCTCCTGAATACCAGCCCTGCATTTCACTTTGAAGCAGGCTCAGCCTTTTCTCTGCAAGAGAGAAACAAAAGAGAGAAAAGGAGAATGTTGCCTTTTTTGATGCAGCCTCAGTACTGTGAGTTGTTGTGACCAGACCTCAGTCAAATAGTATTTGCAAATAAGGTTTAATAGCTGTTATAATCTGCTTTGAGTGCCTTAAGGGTGACATTTTGCCTCAGATAGTATCAAGCAAGTTGTCAGTCAAAGCAACTATGTGCTAATTGGTCTCTTACGTACTTTTTGGCACTTTCACTGTATTGTCCTGTGTGGTAAACTCCACCCATCTGGCACTTTGCGCACATTAAAACAAATGTTTCATGTTATTTATGACTTTCCTGAGGCTGTGGGGGACTTTCCTGCATGCACATTCAGCTTATATAAACACACTCCACGGTCATGAATAAGAAACAGCAAGAAACTCTGCTAAAAAAACAAGACTTTTGTTCCTAAGGCCTGGAAAATGAAGATTTATGAAAATCTGACATGGCTTGATAAATGTGGTCTGGCCGTGGAAGCACTGTGAAGTGCTGTGCATTACGTTGGCAAAGCACTGTACATTATTCGATCCAGATTGTGTATATGTGCGTGTGTGTGTGTGTGTGTGTGCGCAGGTTACATAAGTCCTGTTAACGCTGTGGGGCTGCAGAGCAAATTCGTTGTGTCACAGTATTAGTGGTCATGTTGTTCACGAACCACAGCCCTCCACTTGTGGTTGTGGAATGCATTTTGCTTTCTCTCCCTCTGTTTTCCTTTGCCTCCTTTCCCCCCCACCACACACACACACACATCTACTGAACAGCTGGACTGTTTTTTCTCAGCTGTTGGCTCAAGCTTTGGGATTCTGTATAATGGAATATATAGCCTGTGATGGCCCAGTATGACATCATTTCTCTCTGAAGTGAGCTCTGTGCATATCTTCAACAAGTCCCAAGTTAATTGCAATGGTTTGCTTCATCAGATTTGTGTATAAACTCAACTTAGAAAACATCTCGTGCAACTTCTTGCCAAAGCAAACTCAACTCTGCCTCTCGTCATACTTTGCTGAAAATGGAACAAAGGAATAATATCTCGCTAGATAACGTGCAAGCTGTTGCAAGCATATGTGTGAGTGCTGTGCTGCTTCTAAAACTGACCTACACAGAGAACTTGACATTGCTTGCGGGTGAGAGGCATCAAAGTTATGTTATTTCGGTCAAAGACACTACAATTAGTGGTCTGTCAAAGTCAGATCTTTGCCAACTTTCTTTCTGTGATGTCTTATTTTGGAAAACAGATGTAATACCGTAGTAGTGCTATAAGAGTTTTAACTGACATAAACATGTGTGGTGTGGCTTTTATTGCATGTAAAAGGCAAGCTCCAACAGACGTAATAAAGAGTTTCATTGGAGATGTGTTTGATGTGCCTGCTGAAAGTTCAAGAGCTATTTTTGGAAGTTCCTAATAGAGCTTTCTTTTCCTTTTTTCCCTCTTGTGGTTAATTGTTGTTTAGTTTTCATCCTAAAATAAACTTTCCATCCCATCTTTTCCTTCCTTCTTTATCTCACCCTTTTTTTCTCCCCCCAGAATGCATACCCCAGGCCTTCCAGTATACGCTCTCCCCCGGTCAATTGCTAATGACAGAAGCACAGGCACGCCGTCAGGACGCTATCGTCAGACCCCACAGCGCGAGGAGCCACAAAGAACCTTCCTCGCGACCTCGTCTCGTCCCATTTTACAGGTTCAGTTTATGTGTTTAAATATCTCTCTCTTTCAGTTGGATAATTCCTTTTTTATGATTTTTTAGGACATGTCTGATATGTTTTCTTTTCTGCAAAAAGGTATAATTGAAACATTAAAAATCCTTAAAAAGGCAAAACTAAGTTAAAATTTTTAAAGTTTTTCTGCTGGACACAAGATGTCTTCTACTTTCCTGTAAAGTCCATTCTCTTTGTATGTGCACTGGTGGCTTCAAGTTTCTAAATCAAACTTGTATAAGTTGCATAGGAACTTATCAAATTCTGCACATACATCATTCATCATTTTTGAGTGGAGGGGAACTTCAAACTGCCAGATCTAACCTTCATCATCTATTCTTTAGTTTGCCACCAAGCGGCCGTCCAATAAGGAGTTATCCAGCAGTAACTCCTCTTTGAGTTCCACATCGGAGACAGCCAATGAGTCAACGTCACCCAACACGCCGGAGGCTGCACCGCGAGCACGCAGGAGGGTGAGACAAAATTATATAATTGATCCCAGTCGAGTCCTACAGCCCAGGTGTTTGTGTTTTACTCAGTTGAATCTGTATGAGTGAAATACATGATTAACCTCCAGGGAGGCATGTCAGTGGACTCGATCACGGACCTGGACGATAACCAGTCCCGCCTGCTCGAGGCTCTGCAACTCTCTCTGCCGGCCGAGACGCCGAGCAAAAAGGAGAAGCACCGGGACAAGAGGCTGAGCCTCAACCCCATCTACCGTCAGGTGCCCCGGGTGGTCGACAGCTGCTGTCAGCACATTGAGAAATACGGTTAGCAGCTTCTTCGCCTCTGTAGCCATTATATACACTCACCCAGTCTTTCAATTGTCCTCTCTTACTACAATGACAGGTGCTGGAGACACCTCTTTAAATACTTAGTCATTGAGTTTTTTTCGTTCTCCACTCAGGCTTGCAGACTGTGGGGATCTTCAGAGTGGGAAGCTCCAAGAAGAGAGTCCGACAGGTGAGTGCTCTTGAATATTCCCTCATTTGGTGTTTTAATGGTGGCAATTAGGTCTGTATTGGAAGCATGATTTCACGACGTGTCATTTGTGTGCACAGATAAGGCACACAGCACCGTGCCACGTTTCCTAACAACTAATCAAAAGGCTGATTTTGCAGAAAGTGAAACAGCGTTTTTTGTGCGAAAATGCTATTCACACATTCTTTTCCATCTGTAGCAACAAACAAAACCTCCTGTCTAAGAATAGACTGTGATAACCAAGACCAAAATGTTGTTGTCCGTGGTGCCAAAGCTCCCTCTGTTGCATTGTATTAATGTAAACAGTCCCTTAATTCAAGAGGCTAACACACATGTACAAAGACATTCCTCTTGAATATAAATACATACGAAGTGATCCAATGCTGTATTTTTCATTCAAGCACATATATTCTTCCCAGCTCAATACACAACATACAGCATTAAGTTATTCTCCTTACTCCCACACCTTTCATTATCTGTTACCTTTGACTCCAGTGAATACACGGCAAAAGAAAACGTAAATCATAGGTCAATCAGTGTGGGCAGCGTGATTTTTACATAATCTTTTCTGTTGCATGTTTTTATAACACCACTTGTAGCAGTTACAGGGGACTGAAGACACTAAGTGGTTGAGGTAGGGGAGGATATTCATTCATTAGCAGCCACAAGCGCATTTCTTTGACCTTTAGGTAGATGTCCTAGTGGATGCGGGCGGCCTCAAATGGATAAAGTTATAAGAAATTATTACATTTTAATGAAATATAAGACTGACCTTCAGGTAAAAAAAGACAGCATACCACAGCCCATAACCACATACCCAGTATGTGAGGCCATCTTTTGTAGGAACTAAACAGAACATGAGATGAGATGCATTAGCACAGATTCACTTCCTCAGGTGGCTGCGATTCTTTGATCACACCCTACGTTCACTTTATAGTAATTATTCAGAGCAACGTGTTGCAAGGTTAGAAAAAAAGAAAACCTCCTGAGCGACAGAGCTCAATCAGTCACAGTCTGTGTGCCAAAGGATATTTCTTTCCCCAGGAAAAACCTACAGATACCAAATGTATATATTGAAATACGTCTAAATTGTGTCTGTTTTGGGTCCTGGAGCCCTCTTTAACAGCTAAAAAAGGATAGTTAACATTGTTCAGCTTGATTTTTTTGAGAAATGATGAATAACATGATTTAAAAGAGATGACATCTTTCAGAAATCTTTTGCCTGAGGTTTCAGACACTCAAGCTGGTGTCATGGTTACAACTATGATGCATAAAATCAATTAAAGATACTTAAGGACGAAAGGACACTGTGTGGTTTATACAGCCTACTGTAGGAAGATACTTTTGCCTTCTACCTGCTTTTTTAATTTAATTTTTATTTATTCACTAACTCAGAATCAGCATTCACAAAAGGCTATTCCAGTTATGAAAGGCAGTGCTGTGTTTGCCTTTGGAAAGGATTTCATGCTGTTGCTCTGGTCAGTAGAATGTGCACTATGGGACTACAATCATGAGACAAATTACTTTGACACTTGGACAGTTTATTTGATTTGATTTGGCAAAGAGGCTAAATCATTTCTATTGGTTTCACTGTGTAATAAATTCCTTGAATCTGATTACTCTGTTCCCTTTGATAGAAATTACTTGGTAAAAATTAACTTTCTTTTAACCATTAACTCCATTTATACTATGATAATAGTATGTGTTAATGTGTTAATTGTGGTTAGATGGACCACTCTACCCCCGCATATGTTTACAACACCTCCTCTTTATTATAAACTCACTAAATTAAATGGTTTGTATTCACACGTCTGTATACTATGTACGACAAGTGTAAATATCCATTTTACATTCTCTGCTGGTCTGTGTTGATACAATCCAATGTCAACATTTAGGCATTTGCCACCATTTGTAATGTGGCAGCTGGTATATAAGCGAACATGCTGTGCTTTTGACCCCTGTATATCCATCATCATGGCCGACAATAGACTTTCTAATTCCCTGGAAGTCATCCAAAGGTTAGATTGTAGAGATGCATACTGGTAAAACTAGTTTGAACGAAGAGTCTACCAGGTCACTTGGAGGACCAACGGGAAGTGAGTGTGTGTGGGTGTGTGCGCTACCAAGAATATAATATCCATTGTTATGTGCGGAGGATGTTTCTGAATCCCCCTCTTCCTCTCTCTTTCATCTGTCCTTTCTTTTCCTTTTGTCCCCCCCTTTAGCTACGCGAGGAGTTCGATCGTGGTGTCGACGTCCAGCTGGATGAGGAGCACAGCATTCACGATGTGGCCGCACTGCTGAAGGAGTTCCTCAGGGACATGCCCGACCCTCTTCTAACCAAGGAGCTCTACACGGCCTTCATCAACACCACATGTGAGCCTCGTCTTCCCTTTTTCTCCTTCTCTGCCTTGACCTTGATCCTCCATCCTCCTTCCTTCTCTCTTCCCCATTTCTTCTTTTTTCACCCAGTCCATCCTATCGTTTGTTGCAGTGTTGGATACCGATGAGCAGCACAATGTCACTCAGCTACTGGTCTACCTGCTCCCAGCATGCAACAGCGATACTCTCCACCGCCTGCTGGAGTTTCTGTCCACCGTGACCGACCACGCCCACGACCGGCATGACAAAGACGGGCAGGAGGTGAGCGCCAGTTTAAATACAATCCATGAATGCAGTAGCAAAAAATAAAAACACGAGGATAAAGATCGTGTCCAGAATATCAAATGTAGTCGTGTGCAAACATGTGCAAACAGATTACAGGCAGTTCACTGGCATTTAGCTTGCCTTGTGTTTCCACCTCATTGGGAGGAAATTACCAAAGAAGTGATAGGAATCAGTGTGTGTGGCTGGTATGTGCGCACATTTCTCTGTGCCCGTCAGGCCTGAAACAGCACACGCCGTCTGTTTACTGGTCTTGTTACTACTGCATGTGTGAAAAAGGTTGTATAAAGCGTTTTGTGGCTCCAGAGGGAGCTGTGTGAAATCTGATAAATTTCCCCAAATGATGTCACTTGAGGCAGCGACGGCTGGTGTTGAAGACCACAAGTGAGAATAAAAGGGTGTGGAGTTAGAGGGGGAGTGAGCTTCTACCATGACACTCCCAAATCTCCAAACAAACCGGCTGCTGTCGAGTTGCTTTTTTTTAAACTGTCCATCATGAGTCTGACAGTGTTCTAGGACAGAGATGCTCAAACTTTTTCCCTAGAGGGCCAAAAACTGAAACTTAACGGTGGCCAAAGGCCAACACCTTTTGTATTGTTGAGATGCAAAATGGTACTAGGATCCCAAGTTCCCAAGGAAAAACTATTTTGAATTCGGGATCGTACATATTTAAAGAGCAGAAACATGGCAAATCAAACCTTATGGTGGGCCAGCCGTGGCCCAGGGGCCCCACTTTGGGCAGACCTGTTCTAGGAGCTATGCTATGCTAAATCATACTAAAATTGATAATTCAGAAAGTACAATAAGATCACTAAATGTTACTATTGACTACCACATATAACTTTTTATTACTTTCTAGAAGTGCATTTGTTTAAATCTCTAATGACAAATGATTATGACCCTAATTTGTATAATAATAATTATAATTATTAAATTATTAAACCATCTACAATTGTAAATTTCTTCAGTTAGGTGTCATACTCAATTTGCTTTATTTGGTCTACAGAAGATACCGGCACAGGCTGAAGTAGAAACTGTTCTGTTCGATAGCACACATGAGGGGAGTAGAGGTCAGGATACAGGAAGTGACATCATGATCGGTGATCTGCATGGTTTAAATGATATTTTGTTCTTTCCCAGTCCCACACCCACTTTATCCTTTAATTCAGAGACCATGGACTCATGCATGTGTGTGTGTGTCAGTGGAGAAAGTTTCTTTTCGTGTCTCTGCATGTGTGTAATCTCACCAAGTTGTGCAAAGGAGTGTTTGTGTTGATCGAGTGCGTATGTGTGAGAGAGAAGCAGGGAGTGTTGTTTGTGCGCAGATGGAAGTGTGTTTTGTTGTCCCTGCGTGTACACATGAGAATGGACTCCAACGCTGATGTGTGTGTGTGTGTGTGTTTTTTCCCTTCACGACTCCATGGCTCCAGTATCTGTATCTGAGATCGTGACAGGAAGTCGGAGCGTTTCACACTCGGCCGAGAGCAACACATCAATTTTTTGGTCCGCTTATGGCTCCCATCTCTCCTTTGGGACCAGGAGTGGAAAGCCAGGAAACTAGGGATGGAAGAAAAATGAATTTGTACTAAAAGTAAAAAGCTGACCGAGCTTTGAAGGGCTTATAACTTTAGATGCTAATTGTGTCACAGGATGTACATCATCACCCAACCCTAGCAGAAACAGATTCAGCTGTCATACACTCCAACGCCTTCAGTGTTAACAAACCCCATGTGCCGAAGTGACAAAAACAGAGAGGGACGAGATACAGAATGTTGGAGGGAGAGGTGAGACAATCTACATAAAAGTATGGATGGAGGATGGAGATTGGAACTGGAAGGGAGAAAGGGGAGAGAAAATGTCTTCAAGGGCCATGTAATTTCAGCAAAACACTGATGTAATTTCTGCAGTGTACATTTTTGGGGTTTCTTTCACAATGTTCTCTTAATAAGGGGGAAAACGGTTCCTGATATCTCCAACATTGCAGAATGCTTGTGCAAAGGTGAAGAGCAAACTTACAAAAATGCACCAGTGTCAGTAGATCCTACTTTGCTATTACGAGGAAATGAGGAAAACATATTATTCTTAAAACTGCTTCTAAATTGAATGCTAATTATAGGCAGAAATTACATTTTCTTGTGCTCCCAATTTTTGTATAACATCCTTCTACTGGAGCAGCCCTCTCTGTCATCAGGCTAATACTCACTGTTGTTCTCCATCCTTGTTTAGCCATGGCAATGTTGGTCTGTTGGTTGGTAAACACTCAGACTGAAATATCTCAACAGCGATTAAATTGCCATGAAATTTTGTATAGAGTTTCATGGCCTATACCAGATGAACCCGAGTAATTTCGGTGATCCCTGCAGGGTGTCCGTGGCGGTCTTTAAAATGTAATAATATGAATAGGTCTTTAAATGTCTTAAATATGATTCAGACAAATTGTTGGTTTGTTGCTTTTTCAAGTGTTTTAGGAAAAAATGTGTATTGATATTGCAATAACAAGTACAAAACAAAACCAGCATGGAACCAATACCAATTTTCCAGTTTTTATGGACATAAAATAGGTATTAAATTGCATTCATAGTGGTCTTAAAAAGGTCTTACTTTATTTAACCAGTTGAAACCTGCTTTTCCTAACTTTTCATTAAGCGCCACCAACAGGACAAAAGTGAAATATCTCAACATCTACTCAATGTATTGGAACTAAATTATGTAAAGACTTTCATGGTTCCCAGAGGAAGTGTCCTAATCGACATTTCAACAACTATTTGATGAATTTCCAAGACATTTATGATCCCCTCTGGAGGAATTGTAATAATTTTGACGAACCCCTAACTAAGTCAAAATTAAAAAAATTCCAATACCTGCAAAACTAATGACCATCCAGTGCATCCAGATGTAATTGTCACATGCCTTTAAGTAATTTTTTTTTTCTGTCTAGGTTTTTAATTTGGTTGGGAAAACACATTTTCTTTGTATAAATATACTTTTATTTAAAAAATGAATTGCGTTTCTTCTCCAAATACAGATCACAGGGAACAAGATGACATCTTTGAACCTGGCCACCATCTTTGGCCCAAACCTGCTCCACAAGCAGAAGAGCTCAGACAAGGAGTTCAGCGTCCAGAGCTCGGCCAGGGCCGAGGAGAGCACAGCCGTCATCGCCGTGCTGCAGAGGATGATCGCCAGCTACCAAACGCTCTTCATGGTCAGTCATTCAGCATGCGCGTTTCTAACTTTCATCCTCACTTCCTCCTCTGCTAAACACACACAGTCTCACATTCACTCATTCTCCCTCTCATATTCTTGTGTAGGCTTAAAGTAAGACAATCCCTCCTGGCTTAAGCAGACAATGAGACAATGATTGTGTCTTAGTTAATGCATACAGAGCTCTGAAGAGACAATAAAAAGGAGGAAAGTGAAACAAAACAAACAGAGTGCAAGATGACAGATGGATGAGGAGTGTTTTTGGTCTTAATCATACAGGTCTGAATTCTTGTGAGTAGATATAACAAGAAAGTCTTGCCAATTAGCTGACAATGACTTACATCAAGATACTTTTCCAAAATAAAAGCAGAAAACTCAGGCATGAAATCCTTCATGTGGTGTCAGAAGAGGTCACAATTTCACACGGATCGCCGCCTCATCAGTTGCTTTTGTTCCCTCCTGTTCCCGGGATTCTCAAACAGTGCAGACAGGCAGTTCAGGTCATTTCGGGTCCGAAACCTTAAACCGTAATGTTTTGTAATCTGCCACTGCCGTTCCCTCTGAGGCTTACATTCCAGCAGTAAGCCAATGAAGAGCTATTAATCGCATATAGTGAATTGGTACTGACTTGCTCAGTCTTGGTGAGTAAAAACAGATTTGTCGGCAGCTCAAGTTCTATGGATGACATCTGAAAGTTGTTTCGTAACCTGATTATGTCTGAATCTTTACTTTCAAAGCATTTTGAGGATGAGAGCCATTCGTAGACAGTGGGTTTTTGGGCAGCATTGTAATCCACGTGTTCGATGAGCATAAAATTCAGCAAATTACCTGAAGATCAGATTAAGAAGTGCACTGGAAACAAGACAGACATTCAACTGTCTCCTTGGTTCTTTCTGTTGTTTTCACACTGGGCCCCTGAACAAGCAGTAAACCACTGGTTTCTCGGTTTGAAGAGAGAAGAACAGGCTTAAAAAGTGAGAACTTTTAATGAGATCAGGAAGAAAAACATGCTGAAAGATGTTTGATGACGTTGGATTCCTGTTTTATCACATGGAACATACAGCCCCCCTCCCCCGGTCTGCCCCTCATAACAGACCAGGTGAGAAATGAGCTGAGAAAAATAAAGGCAACGAAGGCCACGGATCCTTATGACATTAGCTTAAGGCTTCTGAAGTCAATAAGTCAATAAACTGGACCGGTCAGACAACACAAAAGCACTTTGTAAGAAGGGTCAGAGCAGACTACATCTGCAGAGGTGACTCGGGTCGTTTGGAGTCCTACGGAGGACCACCTGACTCTGTGGTGGCCATATTCTGTGGAGTGGTCTGCTGGGGCAGCAGCATCTCGACGGCCGGCAGGAGGAGGCATGACAAGCTGATAAAGAAGGCCGGCTCTGTTCTTGGATGCCCCCTGTGACCCAGTGGAGGTGGTGGGAGAAGGGAGGATAATGACCAAATTATCCTCCATGATGGAGATCCCATGCAGGGCACACTGAAGGAACTGTGTGTTTCCCTGATGTTCTTTGTACTGTCCCTTGCTGCTGTAACAAACACTTTCCCCGAATGTCCTCGTTGTGGGATAATAAAGGATTATCTTATTATCTTTTGTTTTATTTTAATAGTTAACGTAACATACTTTTTTTTAGGTGCCTCCTGATCTGCAAAATGAGGTTTTGATGAGTCTGCTGGAGACTGATCCAGATGTGGTGGACTACCTCCTGAGAAGAAAAGCATCACAGTGAGTTACATCCACGTACCCAATACAAGGCAGTCACATGCATCACATCTGCTGTCCTACTCTCTGTCTGCCTCTGCCTGTTTCATCCATGTTCTTGTCTGTAATTTACCAACAGGAGTCCAGACCTGTTGCAGACAGAGGAGCCTTTCACCCTGAGCGAGCGCCGCTCCTCCAGCGACTCCAACAAGGCCTCCAGCGGCGAGGTGTCCCCTTATGACAACAACTCGCCGGTCCTGAGTGAACGGAGAGGCGAACCAGGAAGCCCGGGCAGCGAGCGGCTCTGCCGTGTCCCAGAACAGTACACTCTGGTGGGGCAGGTGGCTGGCTGGAGCAGAGAGCCTGGATCTGACACATGGGGTACCAAAGGTAAACTCATGACTCTTAGTGACAGATTCTGTAGTTTTTGTATCAGCAGAAAACATCACTTTTTCAAATTTTTTTTGCTGGGTATACAAAGAAATATTAAGAAGCAAGTCTGTTGGAGAAGAATTTGACCTTTGTTTTGCTTCTTTCAGACACTATATCAGAGGAGCACGCTAACATTTGGGGGACGTGGCACACTACTCTGAAACCAGCACTCAAGGACCAACCGTACACAGGTAAACAGTTTTCAATTAGTCCAGGCCATCTGCAGATTTTGTTCCCAGTGGTTAATGAGCCAGAGCAGTAAGTGTTTGCCTGCTGCTGGTTATTAACTATCAGGGAGGAGCAGAAACCTGATGAACACTTCAAGTCAAGGACCAGCAGAGTACCTAAGGCTAAAAAAATCACTGCAGTTTATGTGGTTTTTATTGCTGGTTGTCAGAGTCCTGTTGTGTTTTTTAAATTAATTTGTAATAGTTTATTTAGCAACTGATTTACACCTCTGATTCATGGTAAATGCATTGAACTAATTAACTTGCTGGGAGGACATAAAAATCATCATCCCAGGATGCAACAGCTGCAGTAATTTAGTGGTCATGCAACTGCAGAAAATGTATTTAATTCATGACAAATAATGCTAAGGAGGTTGATCTTAAGTGTATATAAATGTACATATTTGCATGAACAAAAAGGACCAATTAATTATGTTTTTATTTTTTATTAAAGATGCAAAAAAACCTGCAAAAAAATGTTTGTCAATGCAAGATGTTGGAGTGTTTCGGTGTACATTTCCCTACTTGTGATGTGTGTATCCCTTGTTATTCATTGAACTATAATTAATTCGACTCATGTAGTTGATATTCTGTTTCTAGGTTCCCACGGCAACATGTCAGAGGGAAGCTCCCGCAGCTCACAGGAAGGTCTCGACGGACTCCATGGCGATGGCAAGCAGCCAGCAACGCTACAACGGACTCTGACAGCGCCTGGCATCACCGAGTGCCGACCCCACCCGCCGGTCACCAGGGTGTGCACCAGCCCTCACGTGGAGGCGAGGCGACCGCGCCTGCAGCTCAGCATTAACCCCTCTGTGACGTCACACCTCAACAGCACGCAAGGCCTCCATCGAGGAAGCGGACACGGACCTAGCCCGACCTCCAGACCTCAAGGTGGGGCGAACACTATCGACCCTGCTATGCTTAACGACGGCCACTGCCCTCCCCCTTATAACGCCCACCATCGACTGGCTAGTTCCCAAAGTTCACCTCAGCTGGCAACGGGTCAGCGCCCCCCCCTGCAGCACGGGAGGCTGAGTGCGGCGCAGAGTAACTCGGCCTCAACGACCGAGGGCCAAATGGTGCCACAAAGCCCCGAGTGGCAGGACTGGCAGAGGGACCGTTGGCAGATCTGGCAGCTGCTGTCCTCTGACAATGCTGACGCACTGCCGGAGACTCTGGTGTGATCTCAGACCATGAACTCCAGCTTAATCTCCGTAGAGATTCTGCTCTGCTAGCCTACCAATGGCATGATCCAACCCCTCCAGTGACAATCACTCCTGTCCCCTACCTTCATTTCACCATGAAATGTGTCATGTTTCCTCCCAGCCTGCCTTTCATCCATGGATTCCCTTCCCATGAACCCTTCTGTGCTTCTCCTGCATCGTAGCGCCATGGCGTTGTTGTTTACGTGCGCAGCTGCTGCCTTATACAGACTTTTACATCCAAGAGCCACTAGTATTTCTTGTTTTTAGTATGGATGTTAAAAAGTTGCTTCTGGTTTCTAGCCCATGTTTTGTCCATTAAGAAATACCTCAAAAAAACTATCCTTTCACAACTCTTCACAACGTTACCATGACTATATTTTCTATTCAGAGTGAGTTCAGTCTTCATATCTCAATGGAGAACAGTAGGAAAACACTTTTCTTTAGTTTCTTATATTTTCATTTCATCATTTTTCAAATTTTTTCAAACTTTTTCAGCATACAGACACTAAGATGTTCGTATTAGTAATTGCTGCTAAATGTAGAATGTTTTGTGTGCGTACTGGTAATATAGTTCACCCGCATCTGACTAAAAAAGATTAAATGATGAATTACCTTTCAATGTCAAATTATGTTTGGCTGTATATATACAAACTGTTGACAAATATTCACAAACAAATATATATGTAAATTGACATGTAAAGTATATAATTTGCTAAAAGTAAGTCAGCCCTTTAACTGGCAGTCTAAATGTTGGTGTTTGTCAGGCTGCTGTTTTTTGTCTCTAATATTGAATGTAAAATACTTTACTTACAGCAAAAAATGCTTAGACCTAATTATAAAGCACTCGGCTGTAAGTTTGCTTATTTGTGCTTTTGCCGCCTGCTGCACTGCAGGACCAATGTGCCAAAGTATCTTTTTTTTTTTACTACAGGATATTTATCATACAGTTGTGTTCATTTCATCCAGTTGTTCGTTTCTGAAAAAGACTCAAGAGCTTGTGACATTGGCCGGAATTACAGCAGTTTTCAGTGTAGGACTAAGGAAGCTTGTTGTTGACATGATTTTATCATCAGGATCATATTTCCAACTATCCCTGAAATGACTAAATCATACTTAATCAAACTTAAATCAAGATAAAGATTGGTAGCCCACATAATAAATGCCCAAAATGGTTTTTAATCATTTTAATTGTGTATACAAGTACAAAAATGTAACAAAAAGAAGGTATAAATGAGAGCCAGCATTAGGATTGGATGTCAGATATATGCCAAATTGTATTTTAAAATAATTCCCACCCTTGTGAAATCATATCTGCAAGGCCAGATGTGAAGAACTTAGAGGATCTGGAAAACAGTGTCACGTGTCTAAATGTATCATAATTCGATGTATAACATGTTTTCTCACATTGCGGATTGAGCTAAATGTGGTTTCATCTTCATGGAACTTCATTTCCCATGTTCAAAATTCACTGTATATACTGGTATGAATTTCCACTAAAAGTATTCACTTTGCTAAGATCATAACCTGTTTCTCTACAACACAATACAGTATGATGACAATAGCAGCACATACAGATGAATGACTGAATATTCCAACTGGGTGCAGATTTATTGCCTACCTAAGAGGCTAGATTCATTTTATGGATCATTAAAATTAGCAAAACAATGAATGATTCTCATTGGTTCAACTGAGGTTCTGGAAAACAATGCTCATATATTTTCTCTCTTCAAGTCCAGTGTTAATTCAGGTGGGGAATTAAGACACCCACGACCAACATTGTCCAAATCCTCTCAAATGTCACAGTCAAGTGGGTATTTGCTGGCAAATATTTCACATTTTCTCACGTTACGGTGTTATATTTGCTCATCTGAAGCCACTTCAGCATTAATTCTGGAGACGCACTATGTATGATTTACTTGTCACATTTTCATGTGACTTTGAGAAGAGTCAGTGGAAGGACTGTGGTAAGGCCTATGGCGCCATCTGTCGTCAGACCACGTGCACTGGCATGTTGCTGCTTCCCACAGTTCACCGTTTCCATGGGATCCATCCGTGCGCCGCGTGGAACCAATTAGCTCGTGATCATAAGCACCTTTTGTGAAAATGTGTAAATCTGCATGAGGAAATAAATGTGCCATAGGTGTTGCTCTTAAAAGTTTCTCCATGCATTGCTCAAGGTTTTGTTAAATTTTTGTATTACCTTGTTTTCTGTCGAGTGTTGTAATATATAAATACAATATAACAATTTTTATTCAAGGGGAAAAAAAAAAAAAAAAAGCAGAGAGAATAATCCTAATGGTCCTAGATTCGTCTCCCCAAACTATGAAACTAAGACAAACTTAGTGTTTATTGCTGATATTTTTGGTGGGGTTTACTGGGTCCAAGTTGTAATGGAATGTCTGGTAATTGCTTTTGTACTGCGTGTCATCATCAATATGCTACAATGGAATTAAATATGATAAAGTTTACACCTGCGGTTGAAGTCAGTGCTTTGGAAAAAAATGATTGACCCTGTTTGGAAAAACAGACTGTTCCTGTCTCCCCCTCCGTCTGTTTCTGTGTATGTTTTTCCTCCCACTCTCTCGCTGTGGGCCTGATTACCTTCTCACCTGTTTTTTTTTTTCTCCTCGTGTTGGCTCACATTAACATTGTCTGTCTAGGATCATCACCTGTTATCCAGCCAGCCTGCCCTCTCCTTCATCTGCCAGTCTGCCTCACTGATTCAGCTCCTGCTCAGCCTGGTTCTAAATTCTAGGTGTGCCAGCTATTAAGCAGGGGAAACAGCTAGTCCTAAGATTAAAAAAAATTATTTGAAATAGCCTCCCACGAGCATATACATTTTACCTAGAACAGATTTAAATGCACATCAAAATACAACTTTCAGTGCCTTCAAAGCCACTACATACCAATAGTTCACCGACTAATATGTTTTTCACTCTCTGATTTGACCTTGTCTAATGCTGCAGTCAGACCCGATTTTGATTCCCAAACGTTTTTATGCAGAACAGAGAGTGAGACATTCACTTCTGGTCACAAAGTTCACAAAGAGTTCAATCTGATTTCAGTTTGACGTGCATAATCGCCAGGCTATGCGATGTCTAGTCAGTTTGGGAGCAAAGGTTAATAAGTGTAAAATATTTGTTAAATGCTGTAAATACTGTTGTTAGCCTGCAAGCTCTGCAGTTTATGTTTACAACCCTGCCCGTGCTATCTCTTGTCCCATCCTGTCTTTGGCCACACCACGTGGGTACATTTTCCCTCGTGGATATTGGTCTGACTTCAGCTTCAGGACTATGAGAGCTTTCCCACCAACAGCGAACCGGCTCCGTGCCATTTCAAGCACCTAGTTTTGAATCATTTGGAGTATTTTGACCGAAAATAAATTGGTGTGGAAACCTGAAAAGTTGGTTCCCAACTGGAGCCAAAATATAGCAGGTTTACCTTGGGAACCAAAGTGGGCCCTCTGTTAATGATTACAATGGTTCCACTCAAAACTGGAGGAAACACAGGCTGGTTCCGAGGTTCCAAGAGTTTTTAACAGAACCGTTAGAGCTAACTTGGTGGACAAACACTGTCATTGTCCTCTTAGTTTTTCTCCTGTTAGATCTGGACATCTTATACCATTATCATTCTTATTGGTCCATAGTTTGGTGACAGCACGTAACTCTCAGCATAGTGCTTCCCAACTTTTAACCTCACCTAATCATTCAAGCCAATTGAAAACAATGGTGGACACCCACTGTTAGGGGCTTTAAAGCACACTCTGTGCTGCTTTTGGGGGTGCACTTTCATATGTGGCCCTGGGCATCCTCCAAGGTAGAGCTAGCACTTTCTGAACTCATCGTAGCAGGAAAAGCTCAGGTGGAACTAATAACATTGATAATGTTATTAGTTAGTCCTGATATGTTTCCATGTTGGGTGTTTAAATTATCTATTATCAGATATTCTGACATCCCGGAGCCGACCTATCCATCATCAATCACACAGTGCTCCAAGTGACTCAGATCACGTCTTTACTTTTGTCACACCCTTAAGCACGCTCGCTGCATTATTTATATGCTCCCTTGCAGCCATACATGTTGATGTGGACGTGTATTTAATAATAACCGTCTGAGCGTTCAGTGCTGCCCAACCATATTCAAAAAAATATATCACAGCTGTTAGCTGGGTGTTAATGGTGCTTTTTATCTAATAAACCAAATGTCAGTGTTAGTCATCTTCAGTTGGCAGAGCATGTGCCAATCATTATTTCTACTAGAGTAGAATTTCTAGTTTGTAAATGAGCGGCTTGTTAAGTGCTTTGAGTTTTGTCCTAGTCACGTAGTTTCACGTATTTTTCGACACAGGCACATGACACCATTTGCTTTTTAAGCCAAAAGATCAGTTAGGTACTTTTTGAAATCCCTAAAGAGCCCAGAGTTACCACAAGTCCTGGGTGTGTCTGGCTGCAGAACAGAGCTGGTTAGGGGATAGCTGGGACTTTTTTTGCTGGTGGGTGGCTTACCATTATTGTTTGTGTGGTGTGAGGTTACAGCAGTGTAATTTTTCCCTTTGTGGTCCACTCAAGGATTCACAGAGCTCTCTTGCTGATGCCCTTACTCATACAGAGTGCACTGACTAATCAGGTTTTGCATGATGCTTTTCATTATGAATTGAAGAGGGATTTTTCTTTCTTTCTTCAATTTTGCATTCCAAACTGAAGGGGGAGCGCAAACTCGTAAATTTTCAAACAACTAAAGTACTAACACTTGAATGAAATGAGGATGTAAAGTACAGTGCTTCTGTGTGTGTGTTTCTTGTCTCTAGTGTTTTGGCAGCTTTCTGCTTCAAGAAGAGATCAAAGCCACATATAGAGACTGCTGATAGTTAGGAGGCAAGAGACAGAAAGGGTAGATTCAGCTATGAAGGCTCCTCAACCAGCCAGCAGAACAGTGACAAAAGCAACATGAGCCTGGAGGGCTGAGAGAAAGGTGTCATTCTCACCCCATAACCCTGACGGCTGTGCCTCTGGGTTGAGTCGCAAGGACAAGCTGAGAAAAAAAAGCAACTCTGAGTCACTCAACTGTAAATGTCAAAGTGAGGCGTGAGCAGGCAGTTTCAAAGTCTCACCTTCAGAAAACTTGAAGGCGTGGAGTGCAGAGGTTGAACTATAGTGCGTAAACCCCTTATTACACCTGAAAAATACACGACTGAGTGAAGTGGTGCAAAGAATAGAGGCGGTGGTCTAGTGAGCAATGGGAAAATGTCAGATGGTCAAATGAGTCATGGCTCAAAAAGGCAGAAAAGTAAATGCAGGGCTCAGGCCAAAGTCTGGGAGCTCGTTTCTTGTTACAGAGAAGATGATGTCTGACTGTTCTGTTTAGCATCTTAACAGAAAGTGGTGCATGCTATTAAACACAAAAGCTATTCTGGTACAGACGTGCATCATTTGATGTGCGGATCGCCCAGGATGGAGAAGGCGCCATTTGACCGGACCACTGAATGGTTTGATGAGCGTGATGCAAATATGACCATAAGTCAGCAGATATGAAGCCAGCTCAGCAGTCACGGAATATTACGTAAATGTGCCTGAGGTGGCGCTTTCCATGAATATCAAAACACCAAATAATAGCTTCTTGTGGAAAAATGATGTCACAGTCCTGCAGGGGAACTCCAGAAAGTGCAAGCCAAGGCCTCCTGTTTCTGTTTTGGTCTGTGTGGCTCATGGTGCACCATTAACTCTTATTAATATTTGTGTTTTCTTGATTGTTTGGCATCTTAATGGAGTATCTTATGTATGCATTGTGCAACATCCATGGTTAAATGTGTCTGTAATGCTGGGAAAAAAATCATCTGGAATACTTTTGTGCTTGATTTTTTGGGTGTAATGTCACAATTGTACCACTAGAGGTCAGTCCAGAGCCTTGAATAGCTTTTTGAAGCAGGCACAAAGTTTGACATACTTTATCTCTCAAGCCCAAATGAACAAATTGTACTCTTTCTTCATTGCGTATCACCCACACCACAGCTGATAATGAATAAATTAGGCAAAACTAGTTATAGAGGGTGACAACCAGAGGTATGTCTAAATCTTAGAAGGGAATAACGTGTGGTAATGTTGATGGTTTTGTGATGGAGAGAGGATGGGGAAGGGGGAATGGAGAAAAAAGAGAAAAGATTAAAAAGATTTCATGGCTTTTGGTTTCAATTCTCCTTGGCGCTGCCTGATAGCATATTAAATCACCTTACAGACCCCCAGAGAAGTGAAATTAACTGCTAGCAGACCATTAGACACGTTGGAAAAGGTAATGGATGAGCGTTTGGCCGTCTAACTCTGTGTGCGAGGGGACAGGAGGCCGAGAGAGTGTGTGACTGACAGCGGGGAGTGAGCTAATAATTGAAATAGAGATAATGTGCAGAATGAACACTTGCTTTCTCTCATTCCTCGCAGTGGACTCTGGGAATAATGAGAATAAAGTCGATTTAACCATTCTCTTACTCGCAGCTTATCAGAGCTCTGATCAACTCTGACTAAGTCTAACTCTGAAAAGTAATTAGAAGCTTTTCTCGCGTCTTTTCGATCCACAAGAGCAACCCCGAGAACCTTTTTATTAGTTGGGTTTCTTGTCTCTCTTTGTCAGCTACCTCTTCCCACTAAACTCTACCACTGTTTATAAGAGGAAATGCACTCTCGTTGCAGCGTCCATCCCTTCACAACACCAATTAAAGCTTTTTTGCCGTGTGCCAGTGCTGTTTGAAATGAGCATGTCATGTTCTGCTCAAGGAGGTTCTGATTAATTGTGATCAGTGAAGGCGCAGAGGCAGTTGGTTTCAGATACTGTACTCTTCTGTTTTTCTTTTGTCCCCTGTTTGTTGGTTTCTGGACGGGAGCCTGATTTTAAATAGAATTTTGTGGACCATGACAACAAAACAAAGCTGCTTTATTTCAGTGGCTAATGACTTGGCCCGCAGTAACGTTATCCAGTTGGCCAAGCTAAAAGACAATTTGCCAGAAAAATACACATACACAAATAGGTATGCATGAACTCATCCACACAGAGACACTTGTAATTGCCAGTACAAGAGTTCAGCCCCACTCCTGCAGGCGGTTACGAATTCATGCATGTCAGTAAACAAAATGTGGATTTCTGTTTGCTTTATCACATTTTGGGGTAGCGCACAGGCACAGCAATTTCAGCAGCGCATTCACAACGCTTTCCCATTTGCCCACACATGCCGAAACACACGGTCACACACACACACATCCTGAGAGGAATTCGTACCCACAAGGTCCTCATTAGCAGGCACAGTCGGTTCATTCTCATCATGTGTTGCTTCATGCAGTCCAAAAATCTGGCCTGGAGGAGAGAAATGTTAGGGAACACGAAAAAGGTTCTCGACCTGAATTAACCCATCTGTAAATCACTGTTGAATAAATCACAGCACTGCCTGAGAAAATTAAAAAAATACAAAGATAATCATATGTTCA